AAAAGGCTACAAAAAAAGTCCCAAAAAATTTTATAATTTCATTATAAAATAGATCAAATTCTCGGTATGTCAATCTCAACATAAGCAGCCACAAATAATAATAATATAATTATAATAGCAATTTTTACTTGAGCGTCCGATCAACCAAACTGAATAAGTGGCCATGCCGATTGAATTTGGTCGTAATAAATTGATTTTCCAAACAATAACAGTCATCATTCATTTTACAAGCTGATCATAAACAGAAAAATTGATATTCGTATTTTGCATGCCCCAAATAGTAATTCTCATCATGTGTATAAAACTTACCAGTAACTGGAATCACATCCGAACTCTCTTGAATATTAATACTTCGAGATCCCATTCCAACCGTATCTTTAGCTAAAATTAAAATATTAATAGTATTTTCACAAATCAAACAAATTTGTCCATATAATTATATCATGTTAGCAAACCATAGTTTACCAAGTACATATCCGAAGTTTTTGTCTTCTGTATATTGAGGCAAGACATCCAAACCATTGCACACAGGAACTTTAACAACTTCAGTTCTATCCCAACCAAGTGTATTAAAAACGAGGAACCCTATAATAGCACATAGTTGTAAAACTTGAATAATCATTTTATCACTCCCGTGCTACAAACCTTTGTTTGAACTAGAAGCAGTGGCTGATATTTTAAAAAGCTTATCAAGAGCATCTTCTAAAAGTTTTGTTCCTTTATCATTAAATGTAGTAGTGTTTCATATTAATTGAGAAAAAAAAACCTTAACATAAATTAGCTCCGATTATGTATTAAACAAAAAATTACCCGTATTTTCAACTTCTTGATAAAACTAGAATTGTAATAGATTTCGTTAAATTTATTATCGATGTCAATATAAATATAAGAGATTTATTTTCTATGCCAAATTTTTTCTTTACCTTATTAGCATCATCGTATACCATTCCAATAGAAGAGCCTGGCAGCACATCATGGAATTGGTTCCTAAAGTTCGATGAAATCAAATTAATCAAACTAAAAACCTTTAAAACTGCATGCGTAAATTAGATAAAAGAGATAATTACAACAACACATATTTCCACATTTTATCCAATTGATCTTTCGGATAACTATAAAAAACAAGTTTAGCAAAGTGATAATATATGTTTTAAGAAAAATGCACTCGTATAATTAAGTACATACACACAATTTTCTTTCTCAGCAAGACAGAAACTATATAATGTTTCAACATCTCGTAAAAGTAACTCCGATTTACGATTGTATCGCTTTATTTTTCCATGAGATGTATAAGTACCCCTGTGAAGTTCAAAGTACTAACAAATCGTGCATTTATCAGAAACAAAACAATAACTTTAATATTGTAGTGTTGGAAGATACTGTATACCAACTCTCCTTTCCAAGACACGAGCTCTGAGGAATTCTTTTCTATACTTTCGTAAAACTCATCTGCAGATCCCATATTCACTTTAGCGAGACCGTCCTAATATTAACAATGATTACTGTATATTCTTCAATAACATTAAATAAGAAATTTTCTAAAAATGGATAGATATCTACAACATCCTTCAATCGACGTAGTCGCTCGATCATGGAAGCAAGTGGACCACCACCACCGTCACCGTTACCAAAGACTAACAAACCCTCATCATTATTAAGTTCTTTATCTTTATTGTTCTTAACACTCCAAATAAGCTCAGAGGGTTTGCATTGAGCTACATATCTATATTATCAAGATGCATGAAATTAAATTTGCAATGATTTTTTATGATTTTGAAATTGATGAAACAAAAACGAATACAAACACAAAGTAGCTTACGTTTCAGAAGGGCACATATGAGTCAAAACCTAAACAGTGAAAAATATAAATATTGGTACCAGTTAAGACTTAATAATTATAATTCGATAAACCATTAGTATTTCTTACCTTACTACCATCCAGTCCAATCCAAAAGAAAGTAGTATTAGGAAACTATATAGCAATTTCAAAAGAATGAAGTGTTAATCAATTATAAAGTTCTTGTTAATAGTAATATAAAGTAACGGAATACCTTGTTAATGTTATTCCATGACAATTTTTGAGTAAAAAAATATTTCATGTCTGCAGCATTGATAATTTGTGGCAATTGAGCAGAATAACCGAAAGTATCAGGAAGCCAAAATACTTTGCATTTATGACCGAAATTCTTTTCAAAGAAACGCTGTCTAAATAATATTATGAACTGTTTAGAAAATAACTGAATATCTTATGAAAGCAGGTCAATTTAGTCATAATAATAGTGAATTATACCCAAATAAAAATTGCCTACAAAATGCTTCACCACTGGGAATATTACAATCCATTTCGACCCACGTCTTTAGATAAATATGAAATAAATAAATATTATATGGATATATAGACAATTAATTAGTCAATTAAATGTCGTAATTAATGTACTTACACCACCAATGGGCAAGAATTGACCTTTAGCAGATTTATCCTGCACTTTTTTAAAAAGCTTTGGATAATACTCCTTCAACCATTCAAATTGTTGTGCTTGAGAGCAAACAAATTTATATTCAGGATAAATATCCATTAAACCAACTTGCGTGGACCAACTCCGGGCAACTTTTCTTTTCGTCTCATCAAAAGGCCTAGAATAATCAAACTCAAAATCAGTAAGGTATTAAAAAAAATTTTTTTTTCATCATACAACTCACCATAACCAAGCAGTATCAATATGGCAATGCCCAACAGCGGTCAAAGTATATTGGGTACTACCATTTTTGTGTTTCAGAAATTCATTGGAAATCTTAAGCGCTTCTTGGATAGAATTATTATCATCTGGTTGAAAAGTATTAACTATTTTATTAGCAGCATTGAGTGCTTGTGCCGATCTCATGGTATCATGAGGAACTTCTTTCGCCATTTCGAGAATAACTTGGAAGTCATACATAAGTTGCCAGGCACCCTGATTTGGGACGGCCAATTCTACTTGATGAAGAGTAAAGTATCTATTTGGATCAGGTGGATTGATACTACTACCAATTGCATTTCCAAACATGCCTGTTTTATGTAAAATATAAATAAATGAGATTAACATACTGTGTAATTAATTAAATAAAAAAAGAACAATTACCGTTACAAGCCATCTCAATATAAAATTCAAATTTATCGCCACCCTTTGAACTACGCGTAAGAACATAATCTACTCTACGATCATCACCATCTATATATGTACATACACGATTAGTTTGATTATAAGTTTGAATTTAGGATTGAACCCTTTCCATTAATACTCACCACTACCAGTAAGGCCTTGAAGTGGTGTTCCGTCTGTAGTCCATACCATTGCTTCGCTTCTTGAGTCCCATAAAAATTGAACTTCTTCGCCGATCCAATCATCAGGAACTCGAACATTGACATGAAACCAATGAGTAGACTGTAGAAAATTGACTAATTATTAGAGACGTTTTTAAGTTTAATAATGATAAATTACTTAAACACGTAAGAAGTGGTCTGACAAAACTGTTTTGTAATGAATTTGTAAAGAGACACATAAATATCTTTTTTGTATAATTAAGTTCTTACCCAACTTGGACCAAAAGAGTCACCACGTTTTGCCGGTTTGTATTTAGCTTTCACTGCCTCTTCAAAAGTAATTCGTTTGAGGTCTGGAACATTATACACCGAAAATTTAATGTATTCTTCCGATCCAGTGCATTTTTTATATAATTGTGAGTATAAATTTATATCAGAAAAAAATTCCTTCGACAAAAACTTTTCGCAACGCTCAACGGTTATACTTCGAGTGACACGAGGATATGAAGACATCGTTGCTAATTACATTGTCGAAATTATATTACCAGTATTTAAAGTTTTGTCGATCTTATAACACGTGATTACACAATTTAGTATAAAATTATCTGGGGAACTAGCAGCATGGTTGAATATCCATCTGATTGGTTGTCGATCCTTAAAATTTGATTGGCTAATTATAGTAGACGTCCTATAT